AAATTGCAGCAGCTGCTTGAGATACACTCTTAAAGTGTGTCTGGGTGTTGCCATTCCCTTAACCCCAAGCAAAACACAGATTTAACTCCAAGTGCCCAGCTACAACCAGAGGCCCTACCCATCTGTGAGCAAGTTCTCCTAGTGCGGACTCAGGAGGGGACAGTCGCCTTGAGGTCAAGCCCCGGGTTTGGATGGGAGTAAAGAGTGAGCAGGAGGTGGAGACTCTTGCCTTTCTTAGAACCCAGTTAGTTTGGGCCAGGAGGGGAGAACTGATTATAGGCAATATACTTCTCATCAAAAGTTGTTTCCAATCTCTTTGTTAAGAGTTAAGATCCAACTCTCATGGTAGCCCAGTCACCAACTGATGAAATAGACGGCTTCCAAGTTCCCTGGCAGACATTCTTTCCTACTAGTTGGAAAAAGTGTGCTCTTTTAGCAGCATGGTGCAGGGGGCGCTGGCTGGGGGGGATGGGGGTTGTTCGGAGTCCTGGTGGGTATGGAGTCCTTTCACTGCCGGTTGGTGACAAGCACCAGAGCGCAAAGTGTGTCCCCTCCCCCGCCTCTCTCCCTTGGGCAGTTTGATTTCCCGCCAGACTGGGTCCCAGTGGCCTGGAAGAGGGGGCTCAAACTCCTGGGGCAGTCATGGGAGAGTCGTGGCAGATAGGTTTCCCCCGACACGCGCCCAGCCGGGTGCCAGGATCTGCGGCTTTGGAACCAGCAAGTCGGTGCCATGCGGTGCCCCCAGGACAGAACTCGCCGCGCGGGTTCCCTCTGGTCCTGAGATCCAGAACGTCAGAGCCAGGCCGTGTGGTGCTGGGGGGTTGGCGGGGGAGGCGCGCAGATTCCGAGGACAAACAGCCTTCCGGACACTCATGACCGCGATTTTTTTTAATTGACCGCTGACAGGCTGAGGTAGTTTATTTTAGTGCTGAACACCCCGGGAACAAAATCCTTTTGAAAAGAAAGCTAAGTCGTTTCACGCCACCAAAGTGCAGATTTGGCGAAGAAGGACTGATGGGACAAAGCGGCGCAGGGCGTTGGCGCGGGTTCCCGGAGCGAGCGCCGCACCCGGGCAGGCGCGGGAGGCGGCCTGGAGGGGCGGGGCCGGGCCGAGGAGACCCGCACGGCCCCGAAACCCGGCCTGAAACCTGGACATCCACAGTGGGCCAGCCCTCGACCCTCTGCCCCCAGCACACTTCACTGCCAACTTGGCAGAGGAGATGAAAACGTGGAGGGGACACAAGAAAAGTGAAGCGAAGAGGAGTACAGGACAGGGGTGAGATAGGCGAGGGGAAAGAGCCGGGAGAGAGAGGGAGAGCTCAGAGGCGAGCGCGGGAGAGAAGAGGGAGACTCCCGGGACGCAAGGGGAAGGACCGGGCAAAGGGCCTCCGCCGAACCGCTCCAGACAGCGCAGGGTTATTTCGCTTTCCTAGTGGGGACGACGGGTATTTTTTTTTTTTTTCTTGGCACCTAGGAAACCTTCGGAAGCTGCCGGGTACTTTCCCTCCACCTCCCGTCAACGTTTGGTAAATATTAACAAACCAGGGCACGTTATTTTCTGGAGTGTGCATGGAGGGGCTGGCAGGGGCTGGGGAAGGTTTTCCTCTCCCGGAGCCCCCGCCCCCAAGTCCCAGCCCCACCCTTCACGCACACACACACCTGCTTGACAACAGAAGGAATCAAAATCAATATTGTATTTGTCACCCCTCTGTCTCCTTTTTACTCCCTCCAGCAGCCCGGGTGCCACTGAAGCGAATTGTGGATTTATGGAGGGAAATTAGCATAAATTATTACGAAATCTGTAGCCGTGTGTGGTCCAGCTTGTGGGAAAAGAGGCTATTGCGAACTCTCCAAGCAGAAAGGTGGTCGGTGGTGGGCTCCGCGGAGGCGATGAATGGCTATTGCACGAAAGAGATTTCCATTTGGTTTGCACATGGGTATAATTGACTTATGTGTATTTTATACAGTTTTCCCAACAACTTCCTAAGCCTCCGGGTCGGATGTGCCTCCCCCCCCAACCTCAAGCTTCTGTTTGCTTTGGGTTCTGTACAATAGACTCTGATGCACTTTTCAAGATTTCTGGAAAGTGCTCCTTCCCTCCTCCTTTTCATAATACCAGTCTTAAAATGCTGTAAATAGCATCCAAATCCTCCCTCCCGCCCCTGGGCTTTGTAGATCTCCAGCAGGAACCAAGATAAAACTTTGTAGCAAAGCACAAGTTTTAAATGCGCATCCCACAACTTCTCTCCCCATCCAAGGCAAACTTGTGCTGTTAAGTTGGGTTTACTTAATTAACCCTGGGCATGCAGAACGTGCCTAAACTCCTATCCGCACCCTAGCCAAACCTTAAAAATTCTTACTTGTATTGTCACACGTTGCAAACTTGGGGGTGACAACTTTCCAGAGGAGACAAACAAAGATTTATTCCAACTTGGGTTTTGTTTTTTTTTTTAACCCGAACGTTTCCACTCTTACAATTTAGTTAATCTTCTGTTTACTCTGAGCAATGATTTCGACAGGCATACAATGACCCTTTGCAAAGCAACAAAATGCCAATTGTTAAAATAAGAAAACGCCTCTCTCTCCCGATTCCCCACCCTCAACACGCACCATACCGGGTGAAAAAGAATCCTCCTGGCTGTCGCTGGGGAAACGGAGACCTTTCACTCCTGTAGTTCGACATCCCGAATCCAACCACCCATAATAGTTTATCTCTCTCTACATATCAGTATGAACTGATGCACATATGTGCTAAGAGGACACTAAAAATCCTTGGGGGGCTTCTGCGCTGGCACCTTTCCTACCCAGGAGCGCTCCCACCTTGTCCATAGGAACTCTGCGTTTTGTAGGTTCGAGGCCAGCCGTAGCCTGGACAGCACCTTTCCATTCCGGGAAACACAAGCCTTGTCTCTATTCCTCATCACGATTCCTCAGGCTCCCGGGCTCTTTGGAGCCCCTAGCTCCTCCCACCCCCGGACCCGAGCGGACTCCGGCCGCACCAAGTAGCCCCCCAAACGCCGCACCTCGCTAGGAGCTGAAGCGCACGCAGCTGGAACCAGTACGGCTGCCTCCGGCCGAAGCTCGGCCGAGGTTCCACCGGAGTTCAACTGGTTTATCTGCGGAGAAGGGCAACACATTTATCTCCCCTTCCCGAGCCATGCCCCCAGGGATAGGTCAACGTCCCTCCCCCAACCCCTCACACCCACCTCCTCCCTCTGGTTATTTTTTCCGAATTAAGAAGGTGACATTATTCTTTTCTTCAAGCACTTCTGTTAATATTGAAAAACGTGCCCTTGCATCTAAAGCAAGGCAGCCCAGACGCAGGAGGCATTTCAATATTAATGAAATTGTTTAATCTCCTAAATTCATCGTGTTTAAGTTACGTTTTGGTGAGTTATTGACCACCTCTGAAACTGTGGTTAATGAAGTTGTGTGTGTGCGCGTGTGCAAGTTGTGTGTGTGTGTGCGTGTGTGTGTGCGTGCGCGCGCGCGCTCTGAAGGATTTTTACGCTAACCCCAAACAGCTCCACTAATATCTAATATCTAATATCTAATATCACTTAAAGTATTGAAACTTCACACGCAGAACTCCCCACCACCACCACCTCTTCCAGCAAAGAAAAAAAAAGTTCTCACATTTCTGGACTTTGAAGATGATTCTGTGTGGGCTGTAGGTTTTGAGTTTTTAACAACGCGGTAAAATGAAATTTTTTTTTAGAACCATAAACAAGTCTGAGAAATGTGCAGAAACCCGTGGGAACTCCTGGCGTCTACTCGTAGACTGCATGCATGCAGGCGGAATCGACTATTTATTTCATAGCAATTTGATGATGATGACGACGACGGCGACGATGAGGATAATGATAATAATGATGATTCATTTAACCCTCCCAAAGCGGATCCGATCAGAAGGGAGCCGGCTGCCCTCACCAGGCGGAGTGACCCGAGGCACATCCCCCACCCCCCCAAAAGGAAAAACTCACTGGTTCCTTGCAAGTCTTAAAAGGTACACTGGTGTTTCAGTGGGACCGCAGGTAGCTTTTTCTAGGCACCCCGAACCCTAAACGAGGGTGGGGGGCGTCAGGGAGGGGGGTGGGGTGGAGTTCCGGCTGTAAAATGCAAACTTTCAGGAAACTCCCGACTCTTAAAATTTCAAACCCCCTGGGAAAAGCAAGCGACCCTGAGGTTTATCTGGTGATAAAGTGTGTCAAACGAACTTAGGTCCTCTCCAGGTCCGCACACCGTTTGCCCCAACGGGTCCCTAAGCCTCCATCTTGCGTCCAACCAAATTTCTGGGGGACTTTTAAAGCAAAGACCTTGACTCTTCACCCAGATCTACTATCTTAATTTTTTAAAAATTTGGCCAATACATTTAGATTTTAAAAATGGGCTCTTACGTGAGGATGTCTCATCACATTTTGTAAGTATTTTTTAAAACCTCATCATTTTTGTACAGCTACATACCCAACTGTGCAGAGAGTCAAAGTAGCAGCCTAGGAAGATCAAATCAAACTTCGACTTGACTCTTGGAGGACTGGGGGGGAAGGGTATGTTTCATTATAATAACCCATGCAACCAACCCCGTGTAGTGCCAAGCGCAGGAAAAGGTCGGCATCGGGGAAAAGCCGTGCCTGAAGTTAGCTAACAATACAAACCCGGTACAATGCGGAGGAAACAGAATACCCCAGCCAAGCAATTTCCATGTCAAACATCATCTGCGCGGCAGCTCCGGCTGCGAACGTGAGTGGTCGCCTGGCTCCCTGCTCCGCGGCCACCGCCTCCTCATACCTTCACACGGCGCACACCGGCCGGCGCGTCCCGCTCCCCGCCAGTGGCCGAGGCTCTTCCCCCTCGCCCAGTCTGGAGCTGGAAGTGATTCCTATTGGCCAAGGTGTCCATGTAAATAGGTGTGAAAGAAACCAGAGCTGGCCAGGCTCTCCCCTCTCGCTCAGTCCCCTCCCTCTGCAGCCCCCGCTCCCCCTCCTCTTCCTCCTCCTCCCAAGGCGATTGTCATATGATAGCTAAGAAGTGGCACATTAATGAAGCGCCGCTACAGGGGTCTTTTCTGCTCCTGTCACCGCTTAAAACTATCAGATGGTTCGAGGGAGGACATGGAGGCAGCCACCTAGCTCAGCCGAGCCTCGGAGCCCACAGCAGCGCCCTCCGGAGCCCCGAGGCCGCCGCTGCCACCGTCGCGCCGGGACTCCGCAGCCGAGCTCGGCCGCCCGCAGGACGCAGGGCCAGGAGCGCCGCGGACCGGGCGGCGCGGGACGCTGCGGGGCTGAGCTCTAGAGCCCGGCTTCGGGCGGAGTCCAACCCGGCCCGGACGCTGCGCGCGGGCTGCGAGCCGGAAGGGACGAGGCGAGCTGCGGCGCCATCCTGGATGCGGACGCACAACTTGTAACAACTTTAAGGTGAGCAGCTCTCTGTTCCGTCCCTGCCCCCAGTCCTTACTCCAGGCCCGACTTACTTCCCTACCACCCTCGCGCCGCTCGCCGGCTTCCCCTCCTGCGCCCCCTGGCTGGGTCCCACTTAAAGCGCAAAGTTGCCGGCGAAAGAGCGCGGGCGCCGGCTGATCCAGCGCCCCAGCCCCTACCCCCCACCCGCGAAGTCTGTTACTCGGCCTGGCCGACCTCGCGGTGTCTGTGTGCATCCATGCTACCTCCCCCCATTACCTCGCCCCTTCCCAGATCCGAGCAGTCCGCCGGCCCGCGCGGACCCAGAGCAAGAGGAGGGCGAGCAAGAAGATGCCTCGGCCCGGCCGCAACACGTACAGCGACCAGAAGCCGCCCTACTCGTACATCTCGCTGACCGCCATGGCCATCCAGAGCTCGCCCGAGAAGATGCTTCCGCTGAGCGAGATCTACAAGTTCATCATGGACCGCTTCCCCTACTACAGGGAGAACACGCAGCGCTGGCAAAACAGCCTGCGCCACAACCTGTCCTTCAACGACTGCTTCATCAAGATCCCGCGGCGGCCCGACCAGCCGGGCAAGGGCAGCTTCTGGGCGCTGCACCCCAGCTGCGGGGACATGTTCGAGAACGGCAGCTTCCTGCGGCGCCGCAAGCGCTTCAAGGTGCTTAAGTCCGACCACCTGGCGCCCAGCAAGCCCGCAGACGCGGCGCAGTACCTGCAGCAGCAGGCCAAGCTCCGGCTCAGCGCGCTCGCGGCCTCGGGCACGCACCTGCCGCAGATGCCCGCGGCCGCCTACAACCTGGGCGGCGTGGCGCAGCCTTCAGGCTTCAAGCACCCCTTCGCCATCGAGAACATCATCGCGCGGGAATACAAGATGCCCGGGGGGCTCGCCTTCTCCGCCATGCAGCCCGTGCCCGCTGCCTACCCGCTCCCCAACCAGTTGACTACCATGGGCAGCTCGCTGGGCACAGGCTGGCCACACGTGTATGGCTCCGCGGGCATGATCGACTCGGCCACCCCCATCTCCATGGCGAGTGGCGACTACAGCGCCTACGGCGTGCCGCTGAAGCCGCTGTGCCATGCAGCTGGCCAGACGCTGCCTGCCATCCCCGTGCCCATTAAGCCCACGCCGGCCGCCGTGCCCGCGCTGCCCGCGCTGCCTGCGCCCATCCCCACCTTGCTCTCGAACTCGCCGCCCTCGCTCAGCCCCACGTCCTCGCAAACAGCCACCAGCCAAAGCAGCCCCGCCACCCCCAGCGAAACGCTCACCAGCCCGGCCTCCGCCTTGCACTCGGTGGCGGTGCACTGACCCGCAGAAGCCGGCGCCCCCTCCCGCTCCCCTCCCCACCTCCTCACTCGCCTTCCCCGGATCCCACCTGCCCGGCCCTCCCCGACCTGGGGCTGCCACCCTAACTTGTCCCTTTCACCTTCAGCCAACCGTCCCTCCCCCAAGAGTACTTTGTTTTGGACCCAGGAGACAAAACACAAACTTGCAGATGGGCCGGGAGGCGCGTGGGAGATGTCCTCGCCCCGACAACAAGGGATGGCAGCGTTCACCTGAGCCACGCCGCCCCGTCCCTGCGCCCCCGAAACCTCCTCCCGTGCAACCGGCGGGGAAAATCCTGCCTCCCGCCTTCGCCGAGAAAAGCGCGTCTTCCTTCTCTCGGGGATCGGCGGTGCTCCGAACTCTGTCGTAGTTTCAACACAGGAGAAACTGCCTCAGAGGTTTCCTGGAACAGATCCCCCCCACCACCACCACCCCCCGCACCGGAGGGCTGCAGCGGCACGGCTGAGGGCCGGATCTCTTTACGTCTTGGAAAACTGCTGCGAAAAGGAGCCACTAATCTTCCTACCCCACTAGCCTCCGCCCATCCGGCAGGGGCTGGGCAGACCGCAGCTTCCCGGGGTTGCGGCCCGGCCTCCCCGGCTTCCGCGGAGATTTTTGTGTTTTGTTTTGGGTTTTGTTTCCTGCCGAGGCTCCAGGCGCTGAGAGTTAGGGGAGAGGCTGCCAAGCTGAGGAGGGGACGCTTGTCCTCTACACAAGCAAAACAAGACTAAAAGTAACCTTGTATTGTTTACAAAGCGCCCGGTAAAATGTAAACAGTGAACTTGAATCTGTCTTGCAAGGCGGACGAGCGGGCAAAGCCCACTTTATAAGTACCTGTTGTAATGTGAATGTTTACTCTTCATTTCTGGCCAGGTTTAGGGGAGGGAAAGGGGAATAGGAAAGTTAATTGGGATGTTAACTTTCCAATTACTTAGAGACTTTTTTAGCTATTTATTTTATTGTTGAAAAAAAGAGAGAGAGAGAGAAAATGAAATAAGCCCAAACCAAGAAAGCATCAAGGGCAACGCTGGAAGAACTTAGATAAGCTGCCTGGTGACATGAAGGGATGTCACTGGATAGCTCTCTCACGGACAAGGCTTTCTGTTTGCTACAAGAACTTTTCCAAGAAGCTAAAGGGCTGCAAAGAGATGTAAATACTTGTGAATAGGAATGATTATACACTGTGCAAAATGCACTTTTGTTTGCTATATTCCTTTAGAGTCTTAGGTAATTTGCTGGAAAACGAACTATTGTTCTGGTGTGACCTGCTTAAGTTAAAAAAAAAAAAAAGTCGTAGTGTCGTCAGAGCTGTAAAATTTTTACCTTTCATTTTTCTCCCTTCCTGTACAGAATTAGCATGGTATTTTAAATATTGATGTTCTTGTTCCCAGCATGCCTGTTTTAAGACAAAGGATTTTAAAAAGGTGTCTACCTTAAATTATGATCTAGTCCAAATAATATTTTCTCATTAAAATATGTAAATTCAAATTTTAGTTTTGTGTGTTTTTGAAGAGTTGCTACGAACAACAATTTTCCAAAAGATGGATGTAGCGCTTCCCTAAGCATGCTTTCTGCAATACACTGAGTAGTTTGCCTTTTATGTCGTGTTGTGAAAACAGTCAAACCTCCTCTTGTGCACGTGCAGATTGTGGGAAAATTATTCAGACAGACTCTTGCAAGTGTTTGTGCATAGAAAAAGAGGAAACAAACTATTTCTATTTTAGATCAGGTGCACAGGCATAGTTATGAAAGAAAAACTGTTATTGAAACAATATAGTACTTTATATGTATTTTTGTCTATCTTAACATATACAATTTATGAAATATACAGCACTTATATAAATCTTATGTGGAAATCAGGTAGAAGTTATATGGAAATTTAAAAAGTAAAAACAGACTTGTTTATTCAATGCCTATATTCTGATGCATCTTCTTTGGAGTGAGTATTCATTTCCTTGCTCCTTTAAATTATTGCAGTTGTTGAAATTCCTTTTTTAGACATTACCTAAAGGTTCACCTTACATGCCTAGAAACATGTTCACTTCGAACTGAACAGATTTCTTTCACTCTTTCATGTGGGAAAATAATGCTTGATGCATTTCTTTTAAAGATGTGAATGAAGTTACTTCAAATGCCTGACTCTAAGTATTTGCTTTTCTTCAGATTTTTGCAGAGAATTAAAATTTGCCAAGAATTTATGGCTCAAGGCTAATTGACACTTATTGAAGATGTCACAATATTTCCAGAATGAGGTGTGTATTCAACTAATGAAGTTACAAGACAAAGAGAAACTTAAATGGTAATTAACACTTTACTGTGTAAAATGATTAAACAACAGACCCTTGTGCAACACAGAGAAACCCACATAGAAACCATGGTCACTATACTCCATAAGGAGAACCCTTAACACCTGAGACCATTATTACCTGGAAAACAATTTAGAATTAATGTAAAGTGTAATAAATCCTGTTGTGACCATTTTTTAAAAGGAAGGATCCCACACACAGCCAAAAAAAAAAAAAGGGTGGAAAATAAATGAATCATTGGACTGATTAAAATGCATGAAGCTACTAAAGCTCGTCAGACAGGGGACAACTAAACTCATTCATCAAGCCCAATTCACAATTATATCAACAAGATCAGCTAAAGAAAGCTTGAAAAACTTATCCACCCTGGGCTAGGGAACTCTTGAAACTTTGTTCTCAAGAAGAAATCATATACATTTTTAAAAATTCAATACATTTTAACAGTTTCCTGCAAGAGAAAATTAAGGCCATCTCTGGAATATTCTAATCTCATCGAATTTGTTAACACTGAATTCGAACTGGGAATGAGGGAGGTGTAATGGAATAACATGGGCCCCAAACATTTTATAATTATCAGCTTTGAAAGTCAGGTAAAATATTCCTCCTATAATAAGCACTAGAATTCAGAAAAGAAGTGATATGTACATATACACATTTAATATAGAGAGGTAACTAAGATACAGATCCTGTTTCTGATGTTTAGTAAAGGAGAGATTTCAGCCCAGAATTTGAAAATGTTCTTTTCAACTGGTAAGTTCGTCATGGTGTATTGCAAAGAATGAAATAACTTGGGCATTGTGAGCACTCCTTTCACAATTGCAGGCATCTTTTCTCAGACAAAGTTGAATGAGTAAAGTAAAAAAAAAAAAAAAAAAATCCATTGATGATATTTTGACCTTGATCAGAAATCCAAAGGCAGTCAAAACACACATGCCTCCACCCAACGCCATCCCCTCCTTACCCCCCAGCTTTGAGACGTATGCCTTGTTTGGCTGAAGTGCCCCACAAATAAGGAAGTTTATAACTATGATACCTTCAATGGCTCTCTTTGTCATGTTAAATCTTTTCACCTGGCTCAAGTCCAAAGTCAATACACACAGCTTTAAAATAAAACTGGAAGAGACGACACCATGGAGTGGGAAGGTGTGTGTTCGGATCTTATCCTGAGAACTGAGATAAGTTATATTATTTTCTGTTTTGTCAATTCAGGCAGTACTGATTTTTTTAATTTAGGTTTTTTCACTCAGAAACTTGACTGCTCCGTTACTATGGGTTTTTAACATGATTCTGCATTCAACAGTGTTTTATAGCAGCTTTCTCTGTGATTTGAGGAAATCCTTACACAATGAATTGCATGCACTTTTTCAAGAGAGAAGCTGCAGAAGTTAATCACTACTTCTGCTGCCTGATTTGGGTTTTGGGGAATCCTGAAAGAATAGTGCTAGTAAATGATCATCATAGTGACTTAAATATTCTAGCAGAGTTTAATTCAATGAAATTAAACTCAGAAGACTGAGGGCCTTGGAAACATGACTCTGGCCAGGTGCTCTAGTGGGATGGGGATGGGAGGTGGGAGGGGGGAAAGAGTCCTGGCCGGTGCTGCAGACAGTAGGATTTATATTGGTTTATGCAAGGCTGGGGGTGGTGAGAAAGAACGGTGCAGAGCACAGGGGTGAGGAATGGTTTATACTTTTATAAACAAAAACTCCCTTTGTAAAAGGTATTCAGTTAATAAACAGAAAGGATCAGGATCTAGTCTTAAATTCTTAATATAAATGTCAATTAATTTTTTTCTCCTAAAAGCCACATATGCACAGAGACACCCAAACAAAAACAAAATAAAAACAACCCAACCCACCGGCTGTGAAACCTCAAAGGGGCTGCATTTGTTTCGTTTAAACTAACAACAAATTATCTAATTAATATGTTTCAATTACAGCATGAAAGGCACAGCCCCTGGACCGCCCGCCGTGGGGGCACAATAGCCCCAGAGCCCACTCTAGGAATTTACAATAACTGCACATCTGTTTCTTTATTTTCCACTTTTTGAGTCTAAAACTCCTCTCAAAATTACTTCAAACCATGGCCCGAGTTATGAAATATGTCCCAGTGTTAAAGGGGGGATGAAACTTTGCCCATGATGCTTCATTTGCAAGCAAAAAAAGTGAAAGCCCATTGAAGAGCATTAAACAAATATATTAGAATTCTGTCACTTTATGCAATTGAGTAGATCAAATGAAGGGTCCCGGCCACTTCATTCACTCTCATTCACTCGAATAGAAAATGCAAAGAATAGCAACCCGAGACTGGGCCACCGATGTAGATTTAGCTCCTTTTTACTGGGAGACAAAAAGGCTGAATTTTCACAAACACATTGCTGACTCGGGGACTAGGAAACCGGCACTGGAACCCCTTTGGAATTTAAATTCATTTTATCTTCCTCTCTCTTTGCAGGAATCTGTTTGCACTACAGTGCAAGATGCAGCAGGCATCCTCTGGCTTCTGAAAAAAATGGGGGAGGGGAAGAAGGGGCGGGCAGACAATGTGGGAGTCAGGATAGATTCCCAAGGAACTCTCGGTGATCAACTAACACTCAGGTCTGAGATAGTAAATTTGATTAAACAAATCTTTATCTATATCAATATAAACATCATTATATCACTCACATCTCCAAGTCTCTTACCTCCTTGTTTGGCTTGGATTACATAAATACCATGTTTTCAAAGACCAGAAGCATATCTGGGTCATCGAGTTTTCTTCTTTCAACTAATATCTGGTCTTTGGTGTCATAACAGACTTGAAAGCTGAGCTTCAACCTCACCTGCTCCGTCTCTCTTGTCTATGCCTCTCTCTATCTCTCTATCTTTGTCTCTCTGTCTCTCTGTTTTTCTGTC